TACCCTTGTGCCAACTCCACTTCTTCAAATACCACATCCCTACTTACAATTACCTTCTTTGAAATGGGATCGAAAAGTTTGTAAGCTTTTGTTTCATCAATCATGCCTAAGAGAGCACATGTGTGACTCTTATCATCTAATTTGCTTCTTCTTTGATACGGAATATGAACGTGTGCAATACATCTAAATGCTTGGAAGTAATCAACACGAGGTTTTATTCCGCTCTATACCTCTTATGGAGTTTCATGATCTACTACAGTAGTAGGACTTTGATTTTGAACATGAACACATCATCTCACTGACTTAGGTCAGAAGGACTTTGGAACTTGCTTTTCTTGAAGCATAACTCGTACTGCATTCATGATGGTGCGATTCTTGCTTTCCGTAACTCCATTCTGTTGAGGGGTGTAAGCAGCTATCAGTTGCTTGGAAATACCTTGATGAGTGCAGAAATATGAAAACTCCTTGGATGTGAATTTCCCTCCTCTGTCAGTTCTCAGACAAACAATATGAGTTCCAACTTCCTTTTCAACACATGCTTTAAAGCTCTTGAATGTATTGACGATTTCAGATTTTTCATGCAAAAAATAAAATCATGTTTTACGGGAATAATCATCGACAAAACTCAATATGTACCTTTTGTGGCTGTTTGAAGCAGGTGAGATGTGACCACATACATCAGCATGAAAAAACTGTAATTTAGTTGATGCGGGCCAAGAACTTAACTTTGGTATGACATCACAGTGTTGTTTACCAACAGGACATGTAGTGTATACCTTGACAGTTTTATGGAATCCTTCTTCATGTATTTCTATGAACTAGAGCTTATGTCCTGTTATATGATTACTACAACCAGAATCCAGAAACCAATCCTCCATCTAAACAGGATGTGTCACCTCTTCATATGCTACCAACAAAATCTCATTCTCGACTTCGGTTGCCTCTACAAACGTTGTGTAATGATCTTGTTTCATTCATACTAAAAATGGCCCGGCTTATCGCATTGAAAACATTCAAATTCTTTATTGAGAGGTTGTCTTTCACGACCTCTCCCACGCTCACAGTTTCCGCGACCATGACTACGACCTACTCCTGCTATATCATCGTGTGTAACTTTCAGAACTTGTTCCTCTGATTGAGAACTCTGCATTCGTTGTTCATAGACGAGCAGATTGTCATGGAGTTCATTAAGACTCAGAGTGTTCAAGTCATTAGACTCCTCGATAGAACATACTACATAGTTGAAATTTGTGGTTGGTATCTTGCTAACCACTGTGTTGGAATCCATTACTTCACCATTAGATTTTATTTTGTTAACAACACTGAGTATGCACTCAAGGTAGTTATGAACCTTCTCACCATGCTTCATCGCCAGTAGGTCGAACTCACCTCGAAGAGCTTGAAGTTGAGCATGTTTGACCCTCGTTGATCCCTAATATTTCTGTTGCTTCCATATTGCTTGTGATGTGCTTTTGTCCAACATTATTTTAAGAATTTCTCGATCAATAGCTTAAAACAAGAAATTCTTCACCTTCAAATCCTTTAGTTGTGCCTCAGCTACACTCCTCCTCTGCACCTCAGTGGGTGTTGCACCAAGTGTTGGTATTCCATCTTCCACGAGCTGCCATATTTCTTTGCTGCATAGGAAATTTTCCATAGTCATGGATTAGAAATCATAGTGTCCATCAAACCTTGGAATGACGGGTTGAATAAATTCTCTGAGGTAGTCATGACTTTACACTCACCCCAGATCAGGCCCCTTGCGAAACTCTGATACTAATTGTTAAAGCTTGATGAAAAGGCACCAATAACACACATTATTCAATCATACAAAAATGACTTTATAAGCCTTACAGACTTGACTATCAAAATAGAGTAACAAAAACCACAAAACCTACATGGCAGCAAGTAGGGGTGTCAAAGTGAGCCAACCCGGCTCACACTAGTTGGCTCACCACGGGCTGAGTTGAAAATAGTCGAGCTCAATCTGGCTCACTTTATGGCGAGCTAGAAATTTCACAACCCGACTTAACCCACTACGGGTTGGTGGGTTAGGTGAGTTGACTCACTAACCCACATTTTTTTTTTCTAATAAGCACGACTGAATAGCAGGACTGAACGTAATGACGCGGTGGCATAACAAATTCTGTAATGCAACTGAAATGCGACAAACATTATGATACAACTGAAACACGGTAACGTGGTGATGTGACAAATGCACTGGTGCAACAAATGGAGTGGCGTGACAATTGTTGTGCCACAATTGAAATGTGAGATTGAAACATTGTGGCTTTGACATGACAAAAGTTATGATACGATTGAAACGCGGAACTGAAATGCGATAAACATTATAATATAATTGATGATAATCTTAAGTGAGAGTTTGACTTGTAGTGACAACATGAAATAGAGGTGGAGAAAAGAAAAATATCAATTAAAATTATTAAATTATTATTAATTATTTTTAAAATTTAAAATGAATGATGGTTTGCGAGTCAACCCACCATAACGCGGCTCGAACCCGCTTAACCGTGCGTTAAGTGAGCCGGATTCATTTTTAATCCATTATCGATAGAAATGAAAAAAATCGAACCCAATCTGGCTCAAACCTGTGGTGAGCCGGGTTGGCTCACGAGTTAGAACCCATATTGACACCTCTAGCAACAAGCTAGGTGTAAATTAAGCAACTAACTAGATCTAGTCGAGTCCTATAAAGTAGAATTGTTTATTGACATGTTAAAATAACTAACAGAACTTACTTTATTGAAAATTTTGATCAATAAAAATATTTTCCTCTACTCCAAGAGTATTAAAAGGTACTTTGATCTAAAAAAAAATAAGGTAGAGAAAGAGAGTTGTAATGATAATTTTGTAATAATGAAATTTGAATAGCTAAGATTTCTATTTATAATTCTTTTTTACTTAATCAATAAAATTTAAAACTTTACCCAAAATAAATTATTTCTACTTTTAACTCACTTAAACTTATTATTATTAATTATAATTTTAATAAAAATTACACTTATTTAATTATTATATTGTAATAATAATAATTATTTTAATTAATAATAATAATTTTTATTATTATAACTAATTATAATCATTTTATAATAATATATTTAATTGACCTTATATAAAAGGGGTATAATTTACTCTTAAAATTAATTGTATCATTTATTAATATTGATTAAAGCATCTCTAAAGAGAGTTACTACCCGGAGTTGATTAAGAATAAAATAAATATTTTATTGTGGGTCCTGTATTTGAGTTGCTTAAAAATAAATAAAGTTACTTAAAATCAAAACTTATTATTATTAATTATAATTTTAATAAAAATTACACTTATTTAATTATTATATTGTAATAATAATTATTATTTTAATTAATAATAATAATTTTTATTATTATAACTAATTATAATCATTTTATAATAATATATTTAATTGACCTTATATAAAATGGGTATAATTTATTGTTAAAATTAATTGTATCATTTATTAATATTGATTAGAGCATCTCCAAAGGGAGTTACTACCCAGAGTTGATTAAGAATAAAATAAATATTTTATTGTAGGTCCTGTATTTGAGTTACTTAAAAATAAATAAAGTTACTTAAAATCAAAAAAACTTAAATAAATAATTCTGACCAAATGTTAACTAACTCAAATATCAGACTTATAATAAAATATTTAATTTTATTCTTAAACAACTTTTGTTAAAAACTCGTTTTTGAGATATTCTTTGAAGAGTTTCTTATCATAGTGTTAACATATGAATGTCCTTTCCAAAAAAAGAAAATGAGAAACATAGTATAAAAAGGAAAATAAAATGATGAAATAAAAAAAGTAATATATAACATGATTCAAAAAATATTTGTTACTTGTTATTAGTCTATGTAACCAGATGAATACATATTAAAAAACAATAATCATGATGCAATAAAGATAATGCTCCAACAATTAATTAAATAGCCGATTGTGAGAGTTAGTGTAATTGAATATCTACATATTATTTGTATATAAATAATCAAACACGAAATATATATATTATTTCTTATAATTAATTATATATCATTTTTTATAATTGATTAAAGTGTGAATATGAGAATTAAATTAAAAAAAAATTATAACTAATACCAAACTTTCCATCCAAATTTTCTAATCTTCACATATGGATCCCACGTATTTATTTATAGAAAATTTCTCAACATCCTTTCATGCAAATCTTCTCTCATTTCATATATACAAGTAAATCTATACATTCAAACACATTTCATCTATATAAGTAAATCTATATATACATGCAAACACAGCTCAAAGGTTTATTCAAAATTTACTGTAACAGTTTTGGGCAATTTATTAATATTAGAACACTCGCAGCGTTTTGTGTTGATTGTCTTTTGCAAGTTATTTTATTTTAGCATAGATTCTGTTCTGTCTATAAAATCATTTACTTCAGCAGTGAAGACAAACTAACAAGCATATAGTATGAGACCTGGTTAATCTGCACAAACTGTTTCCATAATTTGAATGGAAGTTTTTTCATTCAGTTGTTTCTTTTGAATTAAAATGAAGTTGTATATTACAAAAATATGAAAAAATCATACTGCAATACCAATGGAACAAGAATTTTCCTAGGGAATCCCTACACCTACAGATACACATTAGTCCTCCAATATCCTATCATGGCCTAGTGAATCAACAACACCTTGTTTAACTTACTGCAGCCCCTAATCTTCTTTACTCATTCCCTTTCTTATGTTGTCTTTACACCTCCAAATTCTCAATTTCAGCCGAATTCAACCTTCCTTGACCCCTCTAGAACAAAGAATAAGAATAGTTACTACACGTGCACCTCTGTTCAGTTCACACACCAAGGCTGGCTCCACATGTAGTAGTTAGGTGCAATGAAACCGCATACCAATGCTGACTTTACCTACAAAGGGGTCCCATGTTACGCATGCAATCAACCCCCCCTGTCCAAAACGTTTCGTTTTCACATCAATAGGGCTTCTGCAGGTACATCAGCATGTCCTGCAGAGGCGAGAGCTGGCCAATTTGGAACTCTACACTCCCAAAAGGGTCATCCACCGAAAGGTTGTTGTTGTCAAAGTAATTGTATCCAAAATCAAAGGCGTTTTGTAGCTGTAGCCCAATATCATTCCATTTGGGGTCACTCTGCACCTCCCTCTCGCACATCACATCGGGGGAAACCACCTGCTCTGAACAGCTGGAGTCAGTCTGCAACCTAGGCATTGAATCTGAACTGTCCATGTACAATTGCTCATTCCCAAACTTCTGAATCTCCGGCTTCGTCTCGTTCTCATGCTCCAAATTATTAACCACCCCAGTCTCCACTTTCTGTGTGCCCGTGTTGTATTTCTCAATCTTCCCTTTCTTGTTGTATATTCGACACAACACCCAATCGTCAAGCTGCATCATAACACCAAAATCAGACACTTTTAAAACAAACCAAATCAAAGGAATAAAAAAACTTCAGTGCTTCTTCTAGATTTTCCTAATCATAATTAAAGGTTTGCTTTTTATAGTCTATATAATCACTGGAAATTATCTAATTAAGAAAATGCTTAGGCAACTTAATCTAAATTTCAGTGAACATGGAATTTGGGAAACTGGGACACACCCTCAAGTTGTTATTTTTCTTGGAGGCTGATCGATCAACATTTGCGAGGCGATATTCGTGCATGATCCAATTGGTTTTCTCTCCTTTGGGGGCTTTCCCCGCGTAAAAAACCAGAGCTTTCTTGATCCCAAGTGCTTTCGGTTTTCCGATCGGTTTATCGGCGCCGGTGGCTTTCCAATACCCACTTCCGGCGGCGCGATTCGGCCGTGAACCGTTGGGGTATTTCCGGTCCCGAGGAGAAAAGAAGTACCATTCTTTCTCGCCGTAAAATCCCATTTCTGCAAGCAGAATCTCATCATCAATGAATTGAATCATACAAATTCAAACTAAACGAAACCCATGGGAAATTAATCGTACCCGGAAGTTGCCATGGATCAAACTTGTACAAATCGATCTCTTTGATGATAGGAACAGCAATCGGTTGACCAGCGCATTTCCTACAGAGATAGTGGTTCACCAATTCATCATCCGTGGGGTGAAATCTGAATCCAGGAGGCAACTCTATTTCACTCTTCATTCGCGTTTCTTCTCTTGTGTGTGGCTTCCTTAACTCAAAAGTCTTCTGATTTGCAAATTTCTCTGTTGCAGTGGCAGTTGCAGTTGTTGGTGGTGAACGCTGTAGGCTCTGCTTTGCTCTGTGCTTGAAACGTATGAAAGAGGACACACCGGGTGGGTTTTATAGCGTGAAGAGATAAAGAAACAAAGTGAATTTCCCACGTGCGTTGAGGAGGTGGAGGCCAAATCCATTGAACAAATTTAATAAATGAAAAAAAAAAATGTAATCAGCGTGACAAGGATCGACCAGCTGGGGCTGAACAGTCGCCACATGGCAGTGGATAAGTGGGTGTGACGCACGTGATACTGTTCCACTTTTTTCTTATGATTCTGTCATCGCTTACGTTTATGTTCAATGTCGGCTCCGTAGTTATTAGCCACTGTTGACTGTTTTCATTAAACGACCAACATTAATGCGTTTTAGTCCAGTGTCCACCCACCATGTTGTGTCGTGCTCCTTGCTCTACCCAATTGCAGCGTGCCTCGTATCAACACATTGCGGATCTTAAGCATGGCTCCCGAGGACATTTCTTCTTGGTCCACTTTTTTTAAAATGCGTCTTTTTTGAAAGAATATTTTTAGTATATCCTACTCTCACTTTAATATTTTTTTATTAACTTCTTAACTAGAAAAAAATATTACAATATAAGACTATATAATTATTTTATTATATTTAAAAATTATATGTTTTATTCTTGCATATTTGTTTACTAATTTTACCAGTCAAAGTTAGCACCAGGTGAGTAACTTGAAGAGGGAAGGAACCTGGAGAAGATATGATAGTTCCTCACTTTTAGTAACTCAAAGCCTAAAATCAAAACTCATTATGGATATATAAGATTAGTTTAGTTGTAAACATTGAAGACAAGAGGAAATACGTCTCTTTTATTAATAAAAATTAATATATTAATAATTAATATTTTGTTGACATAAATTTAAAACTCGACACAGGTTTAGAAACCATGGTATTATTAATTCGAACGTGACATGTTTTAGCATCTTATATAGTTTTTTCACTTTATGTTGTAGTCGATAAAGATTTTGTGTGTTCAAATTGGAAAGATTACCTAATTTATTGAGCAGAATTATTTATTAAATTGAAACTAGTAACTAGCTAATCAATGTAGAGACACAAGTTGCAAACGTGTATCATAGGTCAATTTTTTTTAATAAAATTAGGTGAGTATAAAACCACATAAAAAAAACATATGAGAAAAATTAGTGTACTATATAACACTGTCATAATTTTGTAATATTTGAATAATATTTTATATTCCATACTCTAGACTTAAATTAAAAAAAAAACTTTTAAAATAACTGTACCAATATTTTTAAAATTCTTATAATAACTTTCATATTCATCACTTGTTAAAAGTATGATTTTTTAAATTAATAATTATTAATTTTTTAAGAGAATTGTCATTGGCAGGATTCAAACCTAATACCTTAGAGTTGGAGGTCGATACTCCAACCACTAAACTATTAGAATTTTTTGATAATAACTTACAAATAAATTATATTTATATACAAATAAATATATATCCGTGTAAATATATAAATATATAAATACAAATATATTTATATATTTTGATATATTTTATATGTTGGATGTGAGGGCACACTCGAAAGTGAAAGTGTGTGTCGAGTGAGTTTTCAAAATTTGATACTAAATTTGTGAGCATGTATCTTTATATGAGTTTGTAATTTAATAACAGAATATAATCTTCATAATTTTATTTATATAATGATATAAAATAAATTTGGGAAACGTGTCATTCGCTCTCAAGCGAAAAATACCAATTTTCGCTCAAGCGAGGCTTGAGTGAGTGAATTTCCAGTGAGCTTTAACATATTTTCACTCAAGCAAGAGTCAATCTCACTTTCACCCTCGATCGAAAAATACCAATATAATTTATTTGTAAGTTATTATCAAAAAATTGTAGTAATTTAGTGGTTGATATATTAACTTTCAATTTTAAAATACTTGGGTTCAAATATCGTCGATGACAATTCATTAACTTAAGTGAATTTTTGGTTGAAAAAAAAATAAAAATACTTTCCAGAAAATATATAAATAAATATATATTTACATAGATATATATTTATTTGTATATAAATATAATTTATTTGAAAGTTATTATCGAGAAAATTATAATAGTTTAGTGGTTAGAGTAATAGTTTTCAATTCTAAAATCTTGAGTTTGAATTACGCCAATGACAATTTTTAAATTTAAGTGAATTTTTGGGTGAAATAAAATAAAAAAGATTTTCCACGTCGGTTCATATGGGAACTATGAATCGACGTGGAAAGTACTTTCTACGTCGGTTGACTAAAAACCGACGTTAAATGACGACGTAGAAAATATATTTTGTAGTAGTGTATGATATATATATATATATAACTTTTTTAATAGAGTGTATGATTGTGATAAAGATTTATTAAGGATCTAATAATTAAAGTCAAAATTGAATTAGTGTTTTAGATTATTACAATTTTGAAGTAGATAAAGTTATGTTCTAATTATAAGTTATAATTTATTAACAATAAGTACTTATTTAATAATTGGTATTAAAGTGAAAATTGTATGTTTGATTTTCAATAGAGATCATGTGAGTCATGATTATAACATAAATATGAATGAGAATTAATTAATAATATGTTAATAATTTAAATATTAATATAATAATTAATAATAATAGTTGTTAAATAGTTGTATACGGAAAAGTGGCTGTCAAGAAATATTTCTATATATTAAAAAGTTAAACGTGATGTTTATATTGATCAACACTACTTAACCTTACGAAGAATTAATGTTATTTTAAATTTTTAAATTCATGAATATGATATAATAATGATATTATTTGTTTTAAATTATTTATCTGTGTTTTATTTAAACATATAGTAAATATAAAAGTTACTTAGAGAGTAATTTTTTACTTTATTGTATACAAATATAGAAAAATATTTTTTTTAGATTACCCTTAGTTACTTAAGATACAAAAGGATTTTTTTAATTCATTTGTTTAACAAGTAGAAAGTACATTTTTGTATTGTTTTTAAAATTTATTACAAAGAATTCACTTTTTATATCAATTATTCTACGTAAACTTATAGAATTATCTAAAATATGGAAATTTTCAGACGAGTCAATATTATTTTAGAAATTAAAAATGATATATGAGTTTTAGATTGAGATATGTAATTCCTAACTCATTAATCATTTTTTTTATTTCTATTAACTTATTTAGATTAGTACTTTTTAAAATAACATTTAACCTAATTTCTTTAATAATGTATTATTTGTTTATAATGTATAAATTATCTCAGTGTCTAGCCAATTTACATTTTATAATTTGAAAAATTTATTCGTCCTTAAGGTTTAGAGTTTGAATTCGCTTTATATATATATATATATATATATATATATATATATATATATATATATATATATATATATATATATATATTTTACTTTTATGATTTGAATTTGAAGATGTATTTGGGAGAGTGAAAATGGGTAGATTTTAGAGAAAAAAAAAGGTAAAAATGAGGTTGTTTGAATTAAAGGAAAGATGATATAAAAAAATTTGAAGAAAGATGAAAGGAAAGTTTGCAACGTTAGTGAGTGATGAGATTAGTTTGATAGATTAAAAAAATATTTTAATTAATAAAATTGTAATATTATAATTTTACCCTTGGGTTGAAAAAGTAATTTAACATCAAATGTAGTTGGTGTAAATTGTGTTCAAATGAAATGTGAATTATTATTTAAAATATAAAAGTTTTAATTGATGAAGTTATATTAAAATAAAATGAAATTGTTAGAAATTAATTTTAAATAAATTGTGGGGGATTACTTTGAATAAATTAAAATTATACTTTGAGTTGACAAAATTATTTTAAATTAAAATGTGGTTTTTTAAAGTTAATTTTAAATTAAAGTGACAATAATTTGTTAAGAAAAATGTATTATTTGATGAAAATAAATTCTATGTAATTGTCTATGATGAAAATTAATAAAATTAAATCAACTATGGAGTTAAAATAATTGTAAAATGTGATTAGTGAAAATTATAATTGAATATAAATTTGCGTGATTAGTTAACTAAATTGTTTTGTTCTATGTCATTAATGTTAAATAAAATATTAAGAATGATTTTCATAAAATAAATTGCATACTAAATTATAATATTAAAAGTATAGAAAGGAAAAGTAAAAATAATTGAAAAGTTAAAAGAAAAAAATACAAAACTAGTGTAAGAATTCATTGATCATACATTATATTAAATATCAAATGAGAAGTAAAATAACATTGAAAAATATACTTAAATTATTATTGGAGATCAACACTATCAATTAGAATAATTCAATTATCATAAAATTTAATGATAATATAATTAGTTTTTGTTATTTATGCACAATTATGTATAATTTTTATAGGGAGAATGTTTCCCTGATTTTCAAGAATAGATTAATGTATAAATTTATTACCTTGTATTTTATTTATACCTCTTTTATATCTTTTCCAAAATAAGAAATACACAACCTATTTTCCGCATGGTATCGAAGCTTGATCTCATCCCTAACCTAGTGCAGCCAACTATGAAAGAGAACAAGGCAGGAGGTTGTTTGTTCGAAGGACCTGCTCTTCCTATCACTGGTCACAAATTGAATGACCAAAATTACCCTCAATGGGTGCGTTCAGTTAAAATCTTCCTCCAAGAAAAAGGCAAGGAAGGTTATATCATAGGAGACTTCAAGTGTCTAGTAGGCAATGAAGGCAAATATTTATATAAAAAATATTAATAAATTAAGAAAAACTATAAAAAATACATTTATCCTCCTATCTAAATGATATTAAATTTAAATTTATGAATTTATATCGAAATAATATTATTTTTTATTTTTATATTACATATGCATTATTTTAAGTTTAAAATCATATTATATATATATATATATATTATATGTGTCTTGTACCTTAAAATAAATGATTATAATGATAGAAGTTATAAATATAATCTAAATAAAATCACAAAACATGACTATTTTATTTTTGTCCTTTTATAATAGTGTGGGGAAAGAGTCATAGATGTCCGTTCAGGTCTGTGTCGCAGGCGTATGCAAAGCAGCGTCATCAGCATGCTGGGTTTTGGTATTTAATTAATTAATCAATTCGTAACACAACAACACCGCTTTTCCGTTTTTATGCTTCTTGTTCTCCACGCAATTGAACATTCGCAAACCTCATGAATAGTCTACACACGTTTTTGTTTTTGTAGTATTCATATTACTGTCATGAAGTGCATCAAATTAATTAACGAATAAATGAAGGTCCAGTTCATGAATCAGGACCCTTCTCATGCAAAGAAAGTACTAACTTATGTGCCGACATGGCTTGTGATGCGAAAAATCAACATTGTCTTGTGTCCTCTCACAAATTAATTATTAATGCTGCATTCATTTCGTTTCCACACACCCTCCCTCCAATATTCAACCTTATTGCCACCATGGATTAGTTAATTCTTATGCTAATTAATTATAACTTTCATTTTTTATTATTCTCTACGAACTTTTTTATTATCTATTGTTTAAAATTTAAGACGGTATTAGTCATCATTTGTTTTATATTAGGTAGTATATTCTTAAATATATATATATATATATATATATATATATATATATATATATATATATATATATATATATATGTTCAGCAGCAGCAAATGACAAATAATAAAAACTGGAGTGAAAAACGGATAAAAATAATCTTCAGTTAAATATTTCTTTTAGGAAATAAGTTTTTAATGTTATATTTGATTAAAAGAAACAGAGGGGTAAAAAAGAGAAAATAGTAATAGATAAAATAAAAATAATAGTTATTTGATTGAAGTAAGAAAAATGAAAAGAAAATCTAAAACTGTTTAATTTATAATTAATAATTTTATCTATTACAATTAATATCATTTTATTATTATTATTATTTACTAAAACATTACATTAAAAAAGTCTCATAAGTGATTAGTAAAGGAATACTCTAGTATTTATATTTTAAGTAACCTAAACATTTTGTTCTACAATATAATTTTTTATAGTAAGATGAAGTAATAGATTTTTTTTTTCTGTTTTGTTTAAAAAAAAACATGATTCCACTAATTATTGTAAGAAATTTACACTTATTTTTTCAAACAATTCACCTTTTCTTAGTTCTACTCTAGTCCTTGTTGTCTTTGGATATTTCATGTTTATCAAATGAACACTTACTTACTTTACATCACAAAATCAACTACAAGTCTAAAACTATAAAAACTTTTTTTTTTTTTTTTTTTTTTTTTTTTTTCACTCTGTTTTTCTTTTCCATGTGCCAAATGGAACATTAACAACGATACTTTTTTGTGGTGAAAACAAGTAAACGAAAATACGGCGCTGCACACAACTTAACGCATATTTGTTTTGTTTTTTACTATGCTATAAAACTAGATTTTAGGTTATCTTACTATACTTTAAAACAAGAGCAATATGAAACTGAAATAGTGTGGCATTAGCACCAAAAACCATGCATGTAGAAAGTCATAAACATGAGACAAATTAATAAAAAAGTTTTGCATGGATTGACCATTTCTTTTAGATTTGTTGGCTGCTACTTTTTTTCCTCTAAGCACTTTGTTTGTTTATGGGTAAGTGGCTGAATCATGGTGGCTTCATATAGAAAAGTAGAAGAAATAAGAAGAGATGATGTCATCTATAAGAGGAGTTAGAAAGTGGATTAAAAAAAAGATGTGGAAACAAAAGTTAAATCAAAGAGACGTAATGCATGACTCATGGCCAAAGCTGTGTGGAAGATACCTGGATGTTTCCTTCAACAGATGTATTAGGGCAGAGATTGAGCTCATTATTAGGTAAACTTTGTTTATTCCTCCATTCATATCATTCTCCCTTTCCTTTTCACTTTTCCCAAAAGTTGCATCACACCCTTTTGAAAATCCTTTGACTTCAACCTTTTTTTTTCCACTTTGTCCCTTTTCTTTACGAGTATAAATTAATTCTTCATGGTTAATTTTTGAATATTATATGAACCACATTCATTAAAAAAATGTACGTAAGTTAATTAAAGTGTTAATATTAGTGTACTAGAATTTTTGTGAGAGAGTGACGGGTTTAAAAATAAATGGTTGAGAATAATGAACTCCAATTGAAGGTCTTTGAAGTTGAATAGTTTGTTTGGTCGCATGTTTTACCTGGGCAATAAGTAGGCTAATGCTGATAAAGCCTGTCTAGTAAAATAGTCCGAACAATTATAAACTAAGTGATTGAGATTAAAAGCAACATTAAAATAATAATAATAATAATAAAACATCTCTATCAGTAGTGAATCTACCTACGGTCGATGTAGCAACTAGGAACACGACCAAGTGAAATGAACATCTTGGTCTCTAAAATTATTAATGTGGCACATTTTCTGGGAAGTTTCTTCATCCTGCATGCTAGTTGCCAAACTTGACTCCTTAGTGTTAACCTTCAGAACCAACAACTTCAGCATTTATTGGGCTTTATTTACATAACCCTTCACCTTGGACTTAAGCCTATCACATTCAGTGGCCCAAACAAAAATACTCATCACAACAAATATCAAGATGTGCAATACCAAACCAAATCTAAAAATAAAACGAAAACTAATTTATTTCTATTAAAAAATTCTAAAATCAATCGATTTGATTCAATTTTTTATTTGAAAGACAGAAATAAACTCAAATTAAAATAAAATTATAATAAAATTAAAATATAAGATGACATATTAAATATGAATAGCAAATAAAAAAAATATAAATATTATATTTAATTATACATGTTTTATAATATAATTTTTAAAAATAATTATTTTATTATAATATGTTTAATAAATTTATAATTAAAAAAAGAAAACTATCTAAATTAATATATCTTAAAAATAAAAAATTAAATTTTATGTGTACAATACTAATTAAATTTTATTAACTAAATATATATATATATATATATATATATATATATATATATAATACTAATTATAATATAAACTGTTATTACGAATTATAATTAATATTATAAAATATTCTCAAAATAATATAAACTTATTTTATATAACAATTTTTATAATATATTTGAATTAATTAAACCGCATAATAAACTACCTACGTAATACCCTGCATCCTAAATATGGTTAACTACTTAATTGAACCAAACTATTTTTGTAATGTAACTTTTAAAATGATAATTTCTTATATACTAAATTGCTTTAATTTTAATTTTATAATATTGAAAATGTAAAAGTATGATCAACCTACTAACATATTTGCTTAAAAAATGTTGAAACAAATCGAGAAGTTCAAGAATAATTCAGACACCAACATGAATTACGAAATTGTTGTATTATGTTTCGGGCTTTAGAGCGTTGTCACGGATACATCTTGAAGGTCCACTAAATTAGAACTTGTTTTGTATTACATGATTGTAGAGTGAGACATTGCAACTACAAGGACGCTACAAAACCTGCACAAAATAACGCTGAAAACAACATGTTTGCCGGCACAGCTCACCTACCAAAGTTGCAACCCAACTCCTAGGACAACGCCGAACACCACCTTCCTCTGAATAAAAGTAACAAAATCAGTGTTATAAGCCTAATATTTTTCATATTATATTTTAAAAAACTAAATATTAACAAGTTACACGGTTATAAGTCATGTACATTGTCCTCTTTCCATTGTCTTCACGAGAAAGCAAAATCAGAGCTATGTTTGCAGAAAGAAAGGTTGAAGCAATTGGGAAATTGGATAAGTGTTGGAAAGAAAGAGAAAATATAAAAATAAAGGCACTGTGTATACCATCATATTCTCTTGAGGAATTGTTCAACTGTTCCTCGTGGGTTTTCTTTGTTTGCAAGTGCTAATGTCTTCCATAGGGAAGGTTCACTAAATTGGAGTATTTTTAAAATTTTATTACTAAAATAAGATTGTTCTTAAATATGTTATTAAACAAAACATATTTTTACTATTGACGGAGTTAATATATGATGAATTTTAAAATAAAAATACGTATTTTTATTTTAATTTATAAAAAATTATTTATATTAACATAAAAAAAATTGTTCATATTGACTCCATTAATAGACAAAATTTAAAATTATTTTTATTTAGGAGTATTTAGAACAACACCACTCTAACTATAGCTTAATCCTTAGTATGTTTGGACACTTTTTCTATAAATTATTTATGGAGAAAAAATTGAAATTAATTGTTTTTACCTTATCTATAAACTAATTTATAGAAGTTTTCTTATATAATTTTTTAATATGAGTTAATGTTAGTTTATAAAATATTAATTTACTTACCTTCATTTTATTCACTAGTGTCTGAACAAAAGAATCCAGAGTTTGGTAACATTTAAAAAAAAATTAGAGCACTCATGCTTATCAGTCACGATATATATATTCATTCCGTCTTGGTCACCCACTTCAATTGTACTCGCTCTCACAGAGTTTCTCCCTCAATATACATATTTCTTACACATATATATATATATACAGTGCTGACAGAGGATGAGAGAAGAAGATATAGAGTTAAAAATCTGAGAAAATGGAGAAGTGGGTGGTTTTGGTGATGCTGCTGGTGTCATGGAAAATGAAGGGAGGTTCTGGTGCCAAAACTGAGGTAAGATACGATGGAAGGTCTCTCATCATTGATGGCCAGAGAAAAATTCTCTTCTCTGGTTCAATTCATTATCCTCGCAGCACTCCTCAGGTATGTGTAATGTGTGTGATATTCATATTATTTATGACTCCCTGATTCCATAACCATTTTCATCTATTCATAGGAGTATGAGGTATCATATTGTTATTGACATGGTCTGTAGGCACATTTCAAATCTTTTCTGCATTTGTGTGTTTTCTTTTACAAGTTCATTTCATATTATGGCATGATTTCTGACAACAATCATTTGGCCTCAGGTAACAGGCATTGATCAAGGACTTGTATTTGTACATGAAGTCACACTCTCCGGATTCTTGTGTCTGAACAATGCTTACACTAATTGATTAATGAATGATCCATTGATTTAGTAATTAAAGTAGCTCATTCTTCCTTTGCATTTTTTAGTAGGTAAGCTGCACCCGATTCAGATGTAAACTTGTGAGCTAATTTTGCATTCATGAAAAAAGCTTTAGAAAACAACTGAGAAATAATAAAAAAAAAAGGATAATAGTGATGTTTCATACTTGAACATCTAAATTCCTTTTCCAAATTTTGCATTTCAAGACAGTTCATTACTTCATTATCTCCCCAAACCCAGGTATTTACTAAACTCTAAACTAAATACAGCTTTATTTCAAAACCTTGTCCTACTCCATTATACATGCTGTGTCTCTGCATTTAATTAAATATGCCCTTTTGTTCCACTTGCCCAGCTGTACTGTAGATAGCTCATAGCATGCAATGCAATCCCTTTTGAACCACACAACCAAACCATTTACAGTTGCAAATTCACTATTGCATCACGGGTATGAATGAGTACTTTCTTTTTGGTGTGCATGAATAAATGATAGAGGAGGTTCTTCTCAAACATTTTGGTTGATTTGAAGTTTAGCTGGGCTCACAGTAGCAATACATTTGGGGTACCAAGATACCATCATCACTTGTTATGATCCATTAAGTAACTAGTTTCTGGTTTTCCTTCTTTCATAGGATCAAATACTAATTTCACTAATAATATTATAACATTCTAATTAGAGACTAATCCCACTAACAATATTATGTTATCTGATTTAACCAGTTTTTTTGGATAATCTGAATATTCATCATGTATCTAATGATAAAACATAGTGGAATTGTGCGAAGTAAAAATGGTTTAACCATGTAATTGTGGAGAGGGTGTAATAGGGAATAAGCAAGTAGTGATCCAGAAGTTTGTCACGAGTAGACTTGACGTTTACACATGAATGACTTAGAAGAGAAAAAAAAAATGAAGAAAAGGACAGAAGGAGGTAAAGTAAGGGTTTTTGAGAAATGAAAGGATTGTTGAATGCAGATGTGGCCAGATTTGATAGCGAAAGCAAAGGAAGGAGGAGTGGACGTGATTCAGACCTATGTGTTTTGGAATCTACACGAGCCTCAACCAGGAAAAGTATTTCTATTTTCATGTTATATCTTCTTATCTTAAAATATCTGAAAAATATAAACAAATACTACCAATAAATAATCGACTTTGGAATAATAAAAAAAAAACAAAAAAGATAATAACTTAATAATATTGTTGAAGTGTTTGATAAGTGCATAGAACAGTATGATTTCAGTGGGAGATATGACCTGGTGGGATTCATAAAGGAAATTGAAGCTCAAGGGATGTATGTTTGCCTCAGGATTGGACCTTTCATAGAGAGTGAATGGACATATGGGTACTTTTCCTTCTTTCAACCTTTTCTTTTCACATTCTTCTTTTCATCAATCACTACTCTTTAGAAATATATATAATGTTATCTCATGATTCTTTAAAATTATTTTTTTAATTCAACCTTCAAAATAATAATATCTCAATTACATTAGTCTAAAATTTAAACAATATATAAATTAAGTAATTATATTAATGTATTTTAAGGGATTAAAGTGACAAATAAATGGTTAAGTTTAGAGACTCAAATGAAATAATTATTTTTTTTTCAATAATTTATGAGAATAAATTATTCTCAATAATAGTTGAAAAATAAATTGTTCTTCATAACTTCTCAATAACAAGGGAAACAATTTCATTTTTAAAGTCCTCTCAACAAACTGATAAAGGAAAAAAAAATTGTAGGGGTTTCCCTTTCTGGTTACATGATATCCCTGACATTGTCTACCGAACGGATAATGAGCCATTCAAGGTACAAACATGGAACTATACCACACTTGTATTGCATTCTAATAATGTATTTAATCATTTCTTTTTGACACCCTCTTTCATTTATGCATTCCAATGTTCAGTTCTACATGCAAAATTTTACCACAAAAATTGTGAACATGATGAAAGCAGAGGGGTTATATGCTTCCCAAGGAGGTCCAATCATACTGTCACAGGTACATACGATTCCTCTCAATGTCAAATGATTAACTTGTTATTTGGTTATGTTTAATGTGTTTTATTTACACCCAATGATTGTGCACTATTATTGAATAATGCAAGATTGAAAATGAATACCAAAACATCCAAAAGGCATTTGGCGCAGCAGGATCGCAGTATGTTCAATGGGCTGCAAAAATGGCAGTTGACCTTAACACTGGTGTTCCATGGATTATGTGCAAACAAACTGATGCTCCCGATCCTGTGGTTGGTTCTACTAAGCCCAAACACTTGCTTATAAATTTAAATTTTATACTAATGCTTAAGCAAATGTTTGGTTCAATATTTTCTAAAGAAGTTATTGCATGTTCTGTTTTCTAAAAACTAGAAGTATTTAAGTATATAAATATTTCTACAAAACAACTTAAAAACCAAACACTTAATCTTCCTATTCATGCAGATAAATACATGCAACGGCATGAGATGTGGAGAAACTTTCAGTGGACCAAATTCCCCCAATAAACCTGCCTTGTGGACTGAGAATTGGACATCTTTGTAAGTTTCCTCCATTCCCTACATCCAACTTTCTATATACACACATTATTTATATTTTCACAGTTTTTATTATTTAAGTATAATTGATTTCACTTTTCACCTCATTTTCAGTTAGGCTAATTCTGCCACATATTGTTAATGTGAATGATGTAAGAGGCATAAGAATATGCAACTTAATTGTTATGCTGATGCAATTGTAATATTCTTCTCAATAACTATATTACTGTGAAAATAATAACTAACGTTTTTTATTTGATATGCTGTTTAACCCAATGAACTATTTTATCAAATAACTTACAATAACATACTCTTTTGGTCTCTAAAAGTATCTACCCGTTTGGAATCTCAATACTAAACAATGAATTTTTGAAATATTAGTTTTGGCTCTTGAAAACCCAAATCGTTAGTTATATTTACATTAATCATTTAATTCTTTAAGTCTGACATAAGATAGTTTTTTTTTTTTTTCAAAAAGTGTCCATTTACTTACTTTTACATGGCATCACTAATTTATAGTTATTGATGAATTTTTTTTTTTTTCCAACACAAGTAACGTTTTATTGTGTGGCCTGAAGCTATCAGGTATATGGTGGACTGCCATACATAAGGTCTGCTGAAGATATAGCATTTCATGTCACCCTTTTTATTGCAAGAAATGGAAGCTATGTGAACTATTATATGGTATTGTTACTGAGAAACTCTACTTCAATTTGATACGGTTTCCCTCTCTGTCTTCGACTTGACAAAACTAATTAAGCAAGCTTTATCCTTTTGCATATAAATGTACCAGTTAAGTCTTAGCTAAGATTTCCACTAAACATTGTGTCTTGTGTACTATCCAGGGAAATCCTGTTCAAATTTGAACCATCTTAATTACAGTATGTGCATCTAATTAACGTTTTTTGCATGCAAACTGACTTAGTACCATGGAGGGACCAACTTTGGGAGAACAGGCTCTGCTTATGTTATAACAGCATATTATGATCAAGCCCCACTTGATGAATATGGTAAGTGTACAACATTATTAATTATTTTCCTACCTCACCCAATTTCATGTTTAAATGTTGCAAATTTTCATGTTAGGTTTGCTCAGGCAACCCAAGTGGGGACATCTCAAGCAATTACATGCTGTAATAAAGTCATGCTCTACCACTCTACTACAAGGAGTGCAGAGGAACTTCTCTTTAGGTCAACTACAGGAAGTGAGTGCTTTCACATTTCTTTCTCTAACTGGTTTATTTGCACTAACCATAGTGAAAACATTCTTAAAATTGTTTCATATTTTGATCAGGGTTATGTCTTTGAAGAAGATAAAGGGGAATGTGTTGCATTCCTTATAAACAATGATAGAGAAAATAAGGTTGCTGTGCAATTCCGCAACAGATCATACGAATTGCTCCCCAAGTCCATAAGCATCTTACCAGATTGTGAAAATGTGACTTTCAACACTGCAAATGTAAATTATTAGTCAAAATTGGTTACATACTTACACACCAAATCTGTTTGATTTAATTTGTTTCATGTAGTACTTTTAATGCTTATAGGTAAATACCACAAGCAACAGAAGGATCGTAAGTCCTAAACAAAACTTCAGCTCGGTGGATGTTTGGAAGCAATTCCAAGATGTCATTCCAAACTTCGATCATACCTCACTAAAATCAGATTCATTGCTTGAGCAAATGAACACAACCAAAGACGAATCGGATTACCTTTGGTATATTCTTAGGTTAGTTATTTGGCTTCATTTCTTGCTGTCAAATACATATCATTCATTACTACTATTTCATTTTTCTATCACATTGGTATATTGCTCACAAACTTTGAAGTGAAAACTGAGGCCATTGATTTTGCGAACAGGTTTGAATACAATTTATCTTGCAGCAAACCAACACTTAGTGTTCAGTCTGCTGCTCATGTTGCCCATGCTTTTGTGAATAACACATACATAGGTACATAAATGCGCACATACATTATCCAAAGTTTACTTGAATGATTACTTCACTACTTTGTTGTAACCTGCAATATCTTTTAGGAGGAGCACATGGAAATCATGATGTGAAATCATTCACCTTAGAGTTCCCGGTTACATTAAATGAAGGGACAAACAATCTTTCTATTCTTAGCGTTATGGTTGGACTTCCGGTATAAGTTTCTAAGGAATTGACTAATGCTTGTACAATATAATGCATATCTTCCTTTGTCTTTGTAATATTTAAGTCTAGCAATTGTTTGAAATTGTTTTTACTAAAAGGATTCAGGGGCATTTCTTGAAAGAAGGTTCGCTGGTTTAATCAGTGTGCAACTTCAGTGCAGCGAAGAAGAGTCTCTTAATTTGACCAATTCTTTGTGGGGTTATCAGGTTTTCTCTCTCCTATTTTCATTTTGTATCTTGTTCTACCTGTTGACATTGTTAGGTTGCTTATTGTTCTTCTTATTTTTAATTAATAGTTCATTTTTCTAATCTAAACTATACATTATAAAACACGTCCCTGATGTATGTGTGTCAATTTTTTTCCCCTTATCGTGCATTATAGGTTGGATTACAGGGGGAGCAAGTACAAGTATATAACGGACAAAATAGCAGTGATATTGAATGGAGTCAACTGGGGAATACTATGGAACAAACGCTCATTTGGTACAAGGTAAAATGAAGCAGATGACCCTAATGCTCTATTTTCCATTTTCTGAATTACAATAGCTAGCACAAAGTTTCAGCACTTTGTGTAAACTTTTTATAGAAGTGTGGTGATGATGAATAATAGTTTGAACTGTTAGACTACATTTGACACACCAGAGGGAGATGGCCCTGTTGTCTTGGACCTTAGTTCAATGGGAAAAGGTGAGGCTTGGGTAAATGGACAAAGCATTGGTCGTTATTGGATCTTGTTTCACGATTCCAAAGGCCACCCTTCACAGTCACTGTAAGTAACAACCCACTTAAGCACCATTAGTTTCTATCATCTATGTTACTAACTTATGATTTTGTAACAGTAGAACTTCCTCTAAGCTCAAATTCATGATAGAAGAATCATATTTAGTGAAATTAATTCATTTTGAATTTATATAAGTTTGGAAGTAAATAGTATTATTTATACTTTTTATAATTGTATACAAACAAACAAGGAAGAAAAACATGAGAGAGACACTTTAACTGCAATCACGAGAGTGTAGACAAATCAGATCCTCTGCAGCAATTAATGCCGTGTAATATGTTGGCACAGGTATCATGTGCCTCGGTCTTTCCTTAAGGACTCTGGAAACGTTTTGGTTTTGGTGGAGGAAGGTGGTGGGAACCCTCTTGGTATCTCCTTGGACACTGTTTCAGTCACAGATTTACAACAAAACTTTTCTAAATTATCATTCCCCACTTCTGCTTAGCTTAATATTATAGATAAAAGGAAGAAAAAGAAAATGTACAGCATGCATAGCATACATACAGAATCTGTTTCTTTTCTGAGCAGGTACGTGGAACAGTTATAACTTGGCTTGTACTCATCATGATAATATATATTATATATTCTTGAAACTTCTGCAGATCAAGATTGATTCTTTGTGATAAACATTGTAATGGTCTTTGGATCTATGTATGTGACAAGAGAGAGTTATTTATTGGAAAAAAGATCTCATTATTAGACCTTCTGAATAGAGTTAGAAAAAAAATTCTGAGTGGATTTTATTTTGTTGGCATAACTTAAATAGCAATATAAAAGTCGTTTGAACACACAATATACTATTTTCTCTTATTTATTTATTAAAAGCAAGTTCATATAGCTGAAGATATTTTCGAAATTTGAACAAACATGAATTAGATAATAATAATATATATAATGTTGGGACATTATAAAAGATGAACATGGTTTGGAAAACAGTGGTCAGGGTGTTGAGCAACACAGATATGGTGGATCCATGTTAAATTAAGGAAGCACACACTGTCATGACCCCAATGTTGCGGAAACACTAGTCCATGTAAACGTGGACAGGTTTCAGTCTCAATTGGAGTATTTTGAGTAATTTTTTTTGGATAAAAAAGATTTTTTTACTGCACACAATCTGTTTTATTAATTGAAATTTTTAAAACACTGCAAATTTAAGAAAGATTTATTAAATAAAGACATTATTCATAAATTTTAGTTACTTATAAAATTGTATTGAAGGATGTATTTATAACCTTTCTCTATTTAGTTACATAAAGAACTCTTATCTCCATAGCCAAAATAAGCTCAACCCGAACAAAAAAAATAAAAAATTACGCAGAGAAATCTTTGTTTCCTGTTAAAAAAGAACAAGAGTTATAATGAGATTAAAATGTAGAACATTGGCAGCAATAGACATAATTTAGAGACCCTGTTCTTGAAATTAGTACTCTTTTTTGTTTGATACTTTATGTTATCAAAGGGTTTTAAAAAAATGAGAATAAAAAGATTAAATTTTTTGACATATAGTCATTCTTAGAAAATTTATATATTACAATTTTTTTAATGTAAGACGTTTGAAAAAAAATAAATTAGTGTTTGTATGTTATATAGATTATACTATTTATTATCTACACAATTTAATTGTGTTTATACTCATTATTTATTTTAGATAGGTAAGTTCTTAGAAAATTATATTAATGTGACTTAGATTTTATAATTAGCATATGACTTAAGATTGAGGTTTAAGATTTAGTGAAAATAGATTTGATGTATTAATTTAAAAAGTCTAAAAAAATTGTAATTTAGATCAAATCAATTATTTTTAACTTGATTTATTTAACTTATAATTAAAATAAGTTTAGATGAACCTAGATTGTAAAATTATGGATAGATATGTTACAAAATGGTAACTATATTTTTAATAAACAAAAATAATACTATGTATAGTTATATATATATATATATATATATTATAATTTATATATTAACTTGCTATTTTTAAAATTAAAGTTAAATATATTAATTTAGTTTAATTTTAAAAATATAAATTTTATTTTTATTTTTTAAAATAGGCAATTAACATAATTCAAATCAGATTTAAAAATAAAGTTATATGAAGGTGGCCTGATAAAATGAACCTAAGCGAGGGGGCATAGCGTGCAACGCCTTTTCATTTATTTTGATGGTCATAATAAATTAAATAAAAATCTAATGTCGGTGTCACAAACGTCAAAGATTTTAGCCACGATGTCAAATTATGGGGAGATCTTTTTTAAGTAATATTAAAATAAATTTTAATAATATGATTTAATTTTTTAAGATTTTAATTTTCACTTTTTAAACAATTATTTTAAGTAATATATTTTTCTTTTTACATATTTATCATTATAATATATATATATATATATATATATATATTTATCCATGTATATAATATATATGATTATTAAATATATATTAATACATTTGTGGTCTAAATTTGAAAAATCCTAATATTTCTTCTTTTTTAATATGTGCTTTTTTTTAATAGACAATTATAGGTAATAATTTCACGGATAAGATAAGAAAATAATTCATTTATTTTTGTTAATCAACAAAAACTTTCAAATCACTTATGTTCCTTCAAAGAAAATTCCAATACAAAAATATAATATTGATTGTAATTAGTATTTTATATAAATGATTAACATATTATTATTATTTTTTGGGCAAATTAAATATAAGTGGTGAACGAACGGGTTACTAAATTAGCTACTCTGCCTTACCAAATTTTGAAGTAAACAAGTGATTCTAATTTTCAGAGCAATACTTAAATGTTTTTTTTAATAATATACAAATATTTAAATATTAATGATTTTAATTAGCTCATAATTTATCCAACTAATTTATAGATTTGTTTGATTAGATAACAGTAACAAAATAATTACCTATTTAATTAATTGAGAATTTTGTTTGCATGAGTGTAGAAAAACTTTGCACACTTATTTCAAGGATAAGAGATTTAGCATTATTGTACTTTAGTTGTTTACGAGCTGGCACTACGTGTGTTTGTGTTTGAATCTTTCGGTGACCTTAATAGAAACAAATCACGTAACTGCGATTATGACCCTGAACAATTAACACATGTTCTGTCTCTCACTTAAACGAACCCCATCTAATCTTTTGCAACGCTTTTCTCCCCTTATTAAAACCGAACACACACACTAAGCTCACAGTGTGAGCAAAATGAAAAATTGCTTACTTTTGGTGTTGTTGTTGGTCACAGTCACAGTGGTCTCGTGTGGCAATGTGAGCTACGATGGTCGCTCCCTCATCATCGATGGCCAACGCAAGCTTCTTATCTCTGCTTCCATTCATTACCCTCGAAGCGTTCCCGCGGTGACACTGCACCCCTTCTTTTTTTTTTTTTGTTCGACGTGGCACTTTACTGTTCTCTAACAAGTACTGTGTTTGTGGCAGATGTGGCCTGGTCTTGTTCAAACAGCGAAGGAAGGAGGGGTAGATGTCATTGAAACCTACGTTTTCTGGAACGGTCATGAGCTTTCTCCAGGCAATGTAAGTAATATGAAGAAATTTAGATGCAGTACATAGTTATCTTTGGTTCAACTTGTTAGAAAGAATTTATATGAGGAAATTAAGAAGGTAAAGTGGATTGAGCTTCTTTTAAACTAAATAGAAGTTTCTTCATTTAACTTCTTCAAAAGTTGTAGTGCGTTAGTTAATTAGTTGTTGTTAGATAATAGATTCTCCTAGAGCTTATAGTATGATTTAAAATTTTAAGACTTCCTTCCTCTCACTTGAAATTGTGAACTTGATGTAGTATTACTTTGGAGGAAGGTTTGATCTGGTCAAGTTTGCGAAGACTGTTCAGCAGGCCGGGATGTATTTGATTCTTCGAATAGGCCCATTTGTTGCTGCAGAATGGAATTTTGGGTGAGTAATATTTTCTTTGCTATGGTTTCTTTATGGGTTCTAGGACACCCAAGAATAGCTTCAACTTAAATTGGTTTATGATGGAGAAATTAAACAAGATTTAGAAGTTTTGCGAAGTGGATTGCAATTTCATAATTCTTAACCATAGCTGTATGTTACAGTGGTGTGCCGGTGTGGCTGCATTATGTTCCAGGCACAGTATTCCGGACTTACAATCAGCCTTTTATGGTATGTATTTTGTACTTTGAATTGTAAATTGTAACTCATACCAACGTATAAATGCCATCTTTATGCATTTATTTGTAGTAAAATGACTTTGATTGCTCTAACTTTGTTGACTCTTTCTTGGGGTTCAGTATCATATGCAGAAGTTTACAACATACATAGTGAACCTTATGAAGCAAGAGAAGCTTTTTGCTTCACAAGGGGGTCCCATAATCTTAGCCCAGGCAAGTATAGCCTTAAACATTGCAATATGTTCTCAGTTCCTTTGTTTGTATTCTTAGGATGATCATTATGGATTTGCATACGAACCACTATTTTTGGTAGCATTCCTTCAATGTGCTAGTCTACCTTGTCCTCTAAACATATCTGAACCAATGACTCCATTTTGCGTCTTCAAAATTTTGCAGATAGAAAACGAATATGGATCCTACGAAAACTTTTATAAAGAGGATGGTAAGAAATATGCCTTGTGGGCTGCAAAGATGGCTGTCTCTCAAAATATAGGTGTCCCTTGGATAATGTGCCAACAATGGGATGCTCCAGATCCTGTGGTAAGATTATACTTTCTTAGAGATGTTATTACAATACAAGCTGGAATTAAATTCATATTTATAGTGCTTGTTATGAGTAGATTCATAAGTAGGAAAGGTCATAACGGGCTTAAAAATTCTTAATTTTTTATGTTTGTATGTGTGATTTTTTTTTTCTTCTTTTAAATATCTATGTTGGTGGTCACATTTAGATGATAACCAGGCTATTCACGACTCTTTTGCAGATTGATACATGCAATTCATTCTACTGTGACCAATTTAAACCTACTTCTCCAAATAGGCCCAAAATTTGGACCGAGAATTGGCCTGGATGGTATTCTGGATCACTTTAAACATTGCTATCTGTAGTCCATTATTCATATTTTGCTTCAGAAAGTCCATTTTACCTTGTGATAAATAATGTAGTCGTGGGAATGCTTGTGGTGAATGTCTGCTAATAGTCGTCTTATTTCTTGGGCATAATTCAGAAATGATTTTTATCCATTTTTAATTGACAATTATGTATAAAGTAAAACTGAAAATTGTTTCATTTCAAAATGTTTAGGGGTGTTTGGCAACTTTCTAAAAACAGATATTTAGGTAGGGTGGAGTTGGGTTATATATGTTCGTGTTTGGCTATCTCCTAAAAAGTTTAAGAAACTAATTTTCACCTGAACAAAATTTGATATAAAAACTATTTATCAGAAGTCAAACACATTTTCTTTCAATCTCTCTCCACTAGCTAGACACAAATGATCATTGGATTAGTTATAATTGAAGGATGATTCGGTCATGCAATGGTATATAAGTTACACTTGAAGGATGACTCGTACATGGTGTGATTCAAGCACCAAAACTATTTGCTCATCAATTCATATTGCCAACTGGAACTGCTCAAATTGTACATATCGTATTGTTAATTGTGCTCTACTGCTAACCATGCGTTTGATATACAGATTCGATATTAGGATGAGTTTTGAACCAATCTAAGCACAGTTTTGAACTGGTTTGATTCTATACAGACTTGTGTAACTAGTTCCACACTTCCAATTAATGCTGTTTTAAGCTAGTTTTAGAAATTTCCAAATTTAAGAGTAGTTACAATTGAAAATATAATTTCACGGATTGTAAAAACTGTGCAAAAGTCTAGAAGATAGACTAAATGCATCTCTAGATTTAGACATAGGAAAATAATAATAATAATAATATGAAGCTTTTTAAAATCTAGCCTTTTCAGTTATGTAGAACTTTAGCTAAGGATGCTTTTCTTTTCCCTTCTATTTTCGCAGGATAGAGGAGTTAAAACTTTTGCAAAAGTTTAATATTTGCTTCTGATCTTGAAATAAGGAAAGTATCTCACATTTAATGTTCTTATATCTTGGGATTTCTAATATTTTAAGGTTTAAGACTTTCGGGGGCAGAGATCCTCACCGGCCAGCAGAAGATGTTGCATTTTCTGTTGCTCGTTTCTTCCAGAAAGGTGGAAGTGTACACAATTACTACATGGTACAGTTCTTTTTTTAATTAAACTATTTCCATTGTGTTAAATAACATTAAAGACGGATCTTATTTGAATGATATGCCATATCTTTATTTATTTTTATCTTGTTGATCTCTTTTTTATTATCCCTTTGGATTAGTATCATGGAGGAACAAATTTTGGGCGAACAGCTGGTGGTCCATTCATTACTACAAGTTATGACTATGATGCCCCAATAGATGAGTATGGTAAGACATCTAACTGAAGTTCTTCTAACGTTGTAACTGATTTATGCACAGGCTCTTTATTGTATTTTGAAAAAAGTCCTTAGTTCTTAAAATTAATGCTAAACTTTACTGATTAATAAATATATAATATAATGACAGGGTTACCTAGACTTCCAAAATGGGGACATCTTAAGGAACTTCATAGAGCTATCAAATTATGTGAGCATGTACTGCTTAATCGGAAAAATGTTAATGTCCCCCTTGGTCCTTCTGTGGAGGTATTTTACTTCCCTTAAACATTGACAGCTAGTACAAATATATTATCTCTTGTTTAGTTATGAACCCTTCCACAGATCGAAATCATAATAAACATATTCTAGTTGGACTTTTTCATTGTTTCAAACATTTTATGGAATTTGAATTGTTGCATATTTATGATTCTAGTACTTGTCTTGTTGCTGGAATCCTTTGATATTGCAGTATGTATATTACAAGCAAATTTATAAATATTATCATATCACTTCATTTGTTTCGAAAGAGCAGTTTTCTTTTTACTCAAACATGTCATTAGACATAAACCAAGTTTTTCTTTTATCTCTTTTCATACTAACAAGACTTTGTGGTAAGGTATGATGGTTTCTTGAATTGATAATTTCCACCTTTACATCTAGAATGCTTATAAGCTAGACTAGAAAAAAAAATTCTAGTGGACACCCATGTTTGTCCAATTTTATTGGTAAGGGATGCTGCAGAACTTTCACAACTGGACTGTCTGCAGTGTAGTTCAAGTAAATTTTAGCTTTGTAATATTGTCAACTGTTGGAGAGACAACTAATTTTTAGCCTCCACTTAATAATTTAAACCTGTAGAGTTGGTCCTTTACATGGCATTGAGCTTCTGTGACCAATTTAATCATAACACTAAATTAATCAAGCTATAGCAATTTTGGGGTCCACTTTGCATCCATCCATGTACTTAATCTGTTCATCTGGTATTATAAGCCATTATTTAGTAACCTTTGTATTGCATTTGCAGGCTGATGTCTATACTGACTCATCAGGAGCATGTGCTGCCTTTATTTCTAATGTTGATGATAAAAATGATAGAACAGTGGAATTTCGAAATACATCATATCACTTGCCAGCTTGGTCAGTTAGCATTCTTCCTGATTGCAAGAATGTAGTGTACAACACAGCGAAGGTAGGTTATTGTTTTTCCTTCCGCTGTTGACATAGTTACTTAATAATTTAACTTAACCTTATCTAAGGATTGCCACAGAAACCATCATTGAGGGCTTAGTTTAAATTTGTAACATTGCTCTTAATTCTAGTGATGCCAAATATTACATTGAAACTCTGGTCTGGAAGTTCCTTTAAATTTAATGAAAATTTTGCATGAATAAAAGAATTTGGCTTATCCTACACAAAACCTTATCAATCCTATGATTATCTATATTAAAATTTTGATATTAGATGTATGCAATCAACGTCATAATGAGAACTGAAATTGAAATTGATACTTGCATGGCCTAGATCAATGTCATAATGAGAACTTTCTTTGTAATAGAAATGATCTTAATTAATTCCCCTTTTCTGTTCACTCTAATCATACCAACAAATGTGACAAATTATTATTGCATTGATCTGTTCATATAATTTTTTGGTCATTGCATTTAGTCATGAAATTTTCAACAGGTTACTTCCCAGACAAATGTAGTTGCAATGACTCCTGGAAGTTTGCGGCAATCGGATAAAGGTTTAAAATATTTGAAATGGGAGATTGTGAAGGAGAAGCCAGGAATTTGGGGGACAGCAGACTTTGTCAAAAAGGGTTTTGTCGATCTCATCAATACTACCAAAGATACCACTGACTACCTATGGCATACAACAAGGTTTGTCTTAAGACAAAAAAGTTTGAAGTGCACATATCGATCAATTAAAAGGAATAAGGATAAAAGATTGAAACACATGCCTATGCCATGCATAATATTGCACTCATATCATCTAAATTTTCTTTACTCTGACAGGTAATTCCTATAAAAATGTAGTTGTTAATAGAGTTATGCATTATTTATCTAGTATAGTTATACCTGCATCATTGATCAAGAAAATAGTAATGAATATTTTGATGTGGCTAAAGCATGATTTTAAAATTATATAATGTTTTTTATAAGAACTTAGGTATTATGAGGTTTGTAAGTCTGATGTAGTGTAACATGCAAAGCTTGGTGGATTACTTAAGTATCTGGTTCTCCCATTTAAAATCTAGCTTTCATGGGTGCCCAAGTACTTATGTGCTTACCTATTGGTATCAAAGCTAGTTCGGTTTCAGAAATGACTACTTACGGAGGATTTTTACCTGTAGAGGGATTTGACTAATGAGGTGTCACCTAGCCACGTTATTTATTAACCTAAGGCACCATCTGTTATGAGTCTAGTGGTTGGACCTACATTTTCACCCACACAGACCACTGTTATGTGTCAAACGCTCATTAGCTGTTGATCACATTATTAGTAGACATAAGTTCATCAAATGGATTGTATTATCCCGTTTTTGGCAAAACTAAAGGTAACAAATGATTGTAGTCCACAAAAAAGTTTATAGGAAAATTCTAACACTTACTTGGAATGACGAAAGAATATTGTGCTCCCAGTAGTTAAAGTCAAAAAGTTATGACCTTACTGGATTTTTCCATCTTCAATCCATTATTTGCCAGAACTGCTAACTGTAAAAAAGTAAATCCGAATGTCAATGACTTGTTATGATTTTATGTTATTATGGATAAATTTTATTTTTATGCTCCTATTGTTCCCAGTTAACCGTACCAAAGATGCTTAATATCTCTCTGCTTGGACATTCGGTGTGCAATTGGCTATAGGATTCTAATAGATTTTATGAATATGACTTGGTGTTCTTCAAAAGGCCTAGGAGGGTTGCCATGATTTAGTTAAAATTTGTGCTATATTATTAGTACAGCTTCTTTTCATGATCAATCATTAACTTGTATAATTTATTAAAGCGTATTTTAAAGTATATATGTTGTGATTAAAGCTCAATTTCTGTTGATGGCAGTATATTTGTTGGCGAACACGAAGAGTTTTTGACAAACGGAAGCAAACCGGTTCTTCTAATTGAATCTACTGGTCATGCTCTCCATGCTTTTGTGAATCAGGAATATCAAGGTTATCCTCTGATAGATATTAAACTCATTACTTTATATTTTATCAGTCAATTATCATAGTGTGATCATATGAGAATTGTGGGTCACTGTGAAATTTAGGACATGCAACTTGTCTCCCTGTATTCTCTTGCCATTGCATTTTCCTTGCCTTGCTCAGTGTGCAGAATAAGATGATATTTCTCAAAGTTAATTAATTACATACACATCCCGGGGAAGTAAAATGAAATTGGAGAGGTTTCTCTTTTTGGTTTCAGAACTATATAAAATCTGTTATTCTGAGATTTAACATCGGTGGAATATGTTTACTTTAAAATAAGGAAGTTATATTTGGTTTTGAAACAAATTTGAAATCTGAAATATTAAAACTCGGGGGAGGCAGATAATCTCTATATTTGCTTCTTCTGTAGCTTATGAATCACCAATGGGAATACATGGATCTTATGTTTCCTTAACATGAATGTATTTTCAGTTTCCTGTTATTTAACTCCTCTTGTATTATGTTATTGTGCATATCTAAAACTGGCATTTTAATACTGACATATGAAATGACAGTACATGTTATATGAAAGTTGAACCAAAGTAATATATTAATATCTTAATTTATGAAAAGTAAATAAGAAATTCAAGCCTTTCATATTTAAATTAATTGGATAAAACATTCATTATTTAAAATAATGGAAGGCAGAAAAGGAAACAGATTGACTCTATGGGAATTTTTTAGGGTTTTGTATATATATATATATATATATATATTTTATTCATGTACTTTATCTATATAGAGTAAAAATATGATAAAATATCAAATATTAACAATATCTTAATCATAATTACCTAAATCAAAATAATAACTTAATATCTTTTTCTGTTATTCTAAAAATTTGTTAACACCTAATTTAAATAAAAGATAATAAAACATATATTCCTAACATTCCTTCTTGCTTTAATATCTATTTATTTGATTTTGATATTCTTCTTTTATTTTGCTTGATATTCTTTCTTCTTTTTTATTTGTATTTCTTGTTATCTCCTTCTTGTATGAGATCACATCTTCATTCTATTTAACTTTCTTCATTAGTGTATTTCTTCCTTTATCAAGTTCGTCTCCTTTGTTTCTTTCAAACTTCATGGTAGCAACGTTTGACCATTTAATGGACATTGGAAACTGTTTCTTTATCTACACCTTTATTTTCCTCCTTAACATCATATTTCTTTAAGAAATACCTATCATGTTTTGCTTTGACTTTTCTTTTATATCTTCATTTGTAGTCAACTCTTCTTTCATCAAATCTAAAGTAAAACTTTTTCCTTTTATGTGAATTTTGAATATTTTCAAGTTATTTGTATCTTTAATCATGCAAAGTTTGTGTTCAAAAGATACTTTATAATTTTTCTCCAATAATGAGCAACATGTAGCAAATTTTAGTTAATATCAGGAACATATAAAACATAAACATTATTTCAATACTTGAATGCCTTTTTTAACTGTAATTATTTTCATACCTTTCACATCCATTTGTTCTTCATTGCCAATTCTCACTTTAGAAATAACATATTCTTTGAGCACTTTGAAAAGTTCTCGATCATGAATCTTGTGGTTTGTACAACCACTATCTATAAACTAACATGTAGATTTGTTGATTGTAGAGCATATTGTTGCAAGGAGAAGTTCCCCTTCATTCCATCCTCTATAACTTGAGGACTTTTTAGTTGTGATTTGTATATCTTTTCTATATGTTCTAATTGACCACATTTGCGACATTTCACATCGGGTCTCCACCAACTCTATTGTGTGAGTGATTATTTTCCTTGCAATAAGAACAAATAGAGAAGACACGTGATTTTGTACTTTTGTTGTTCTTGGCTTGGATAAAACCTTCACCATGATCTAGTAAGGAACCTTCAATAGTAGCATAATCTCCTCTCATCAATCTTCGTTATTTTTGTGCTTGTAAAACATAACACTTATGCTAAAGTAATATTAGACAAATTCTTTGTGTTTTTCATTGAAGCAATAGATGTTTCATATCTTTCTGAAACAGTTACCAGAATTTTCTAACTATTCTGGAATCAGGAAATTTCATTCTTCTCATAAGAACTAAAACTCTTGACACCACTGATGGAAATTTTTTATGGGAATGTTTTCAACTATTCTGGAATCAAGAAATTTCATTTTTCTCGTAAGAACTAAAACTCTTGATACCACTGATGGGAATTATTTATGGTTTTATGTATGTGTATTTCTGATATATGAAATATATCTCATATGGATATTTCTTTTATTCATATACGGTATCTATATATAGTGTACAAAATATCAAATATTAACAATATCTCAATCATAACTATTTAAATCAAAATAATAACCTAATATCTTTTTCTCTTATTCTAAATATCTCTTAATACCTAATTTAAATAAAAGATAATAAAACATATATTCTTAGCACTTGAGTATATGTGTCTTGCTTAGCATTCAGCTGCCTTGTCAATGTCTTACATTAGAAAATTTTTTGTTACATGCATTCATTTTTGTTTGATGGTGAAACCTGTAAATGCATTTGGAAACTATTGAGTTGCGACACTTTAGAGGAGTAAATTCATGAACTAATAAACACAAGTTCTACCAAATGATTTTTCTCTTGTTATTTCGTAATTTTAACCTTTTGTCCTTTAGGTACTGGTACTGGAAATGGTACACATTCACCATTCACTTTTAAGAATCCCATCTCCCTCCGAGCAGGGAAAAATGAAATTGCTTTGTTGTGCTTGACAGTTGGCTTACAGGTGAGTTCCTCTGTTTAGAATTAGACCATGTATTTTCTTGGTTTCCTTTATTTTTTATTTTGTATGCTGAATGAGGCTTGTGCCCAAAATGAAGAAGATTATACCCCCATCCTGGGAAGAGATTAAGCAATTGCTATGATTCCTAAGAAATCCAAATTTCTCACCACCCTACTTTTTTTCATTATGGTTTAGACTGCTGGACCATTTTATGACTTTGTGGGGGCGGGACTTACAAGTGTGAAGATTAAGGGACTGAACAATGGGACAATAGACTTGTCTTCTTATGCCTGGACTTACAAGGTACTTTTCACCCTCCCACCCACATTATCTTTGAAATGCTGATGATTTTTTTTTTTTTATACCCTTGGTGGTGATATTTCCCAAGGAAATTTATACTGTCATGCTTTTCTCAGATTGGAGTGCAAGGAGAACATCTAAAGCTATACCAGGGAGATGGGTTGAATAATGCGAACTGGACATCTACTTCAGAACCACCAAAAATGCAGCCATTGACATGGTACAAGGTAATGAATGACCTATCTTACTTTTTCCATCTGTTAATGCAAATTATCTATACATCTTTCATTTAGTTAGTGTTTTTCGGTGAAGTATCTTTTACAATTCTTGGCCTTGCAGGCTATCGTGGATGCTCCACCTGGGGATGAACCAGTTGGATTGGATATGTTACATATGGGCAAAGGTCTAGCCTGGTTAAATGGAGAGGAAATAGGAAGATATTGGCCTAGGAGAAGTGAATTCAAGAGTGAAGACTGTGTGAAAGAATGCGATTACAGAGGCAAATTTAATCCCGACAAATGTGACACTGGTTGTGGAGAACCTACGCAGAGATGGTAAAACTATTCACAACAACGATTTCCACAAAATTGATAGATTGAAATGCTGTCATTTTCCATTTTTTTAAATGCAGAAAAATTTACCTTTGATATATCAACTGGTATAGAAACATTCTGATTATGTATCATTCTCGTTTTTAAGGAAACATTTTGTATTTCCTATGTATCAGGTACCATGTTCCACGATCTTGGTTCAAGCCATCAGGAAATATTCTTGTTCTTTTTGAGGAGAAAGGTGGAGATCCAAATATGATTAGGTTTGTGAGACGTAAAATATCTGGAGCGTGTGCCCTTGTTGCTGAGGATTACCCCTCAGTCGGACTCCTTTCTCAGGATGAAGATAAAACACAGAATAACAAAAACATTCCTTTTGCTCGATTGACGTGCCCCAGTAACACTCATATATCTGCTGTGAAGTTTGCAAGCTTTGGAACTCCTTCTGGATCATGTGGATCTTATCTCAAGGGAGATTGCCATGATCCCAATTCTAGCATAGTTGTTGAGAAGGTATGTCCTTTTGCATTTTTTTGCATTGCATGCATTTGGGTTATTCTCTCATAAGTATCTATGTATATTTTCGTGTTCAAAATTAATCACACAATTAAGGTATGTCCTGAAGCTATGGTTTCTGATTAACTTTGCAAGCAATCCTGTTAGCTTTGCTGTGTGTGCATTATAAACAACAAACAATTGCTACAGGAACTTATCATAATTAATAGCACACTAACTCTTTGGCTGTTATTTAGTGGGAAGAGATTGATCCATGAATCCCACATTGGATTCAATCTTTCCGGCATATAAAATACTCGCTACATGAATTTATGATATCCATAAGTGAACTTTTATCTGGTCACCCCTTGTTTCTTGCTTTGACATTTAAAGTGAAATTTAAACTAATGCAAGTCACCCTCAGCTATCTGTCTTTTTCCTTTGTAGAAAGATGTTTCGTGCAATGTTTCATTAATTCTTTGTTCTTTTATTTTTAAGGATTTTAATACTGACATATCTTCATAAACTTCGTTGTTGTTGCAGGCGTGCCTAAACAAAAACGACTGTGTCATAAAATTAACTGAAGAGAATTTCAAAACCAACTTGTGTCCTGGTTTATCAAGGAAACTTGCTGTGGAAGCGGTTTGTAGTTGATTAGTATTAATATTACTATCAATTCCGGAGGAACATTGCATTACACCATTTATTTTACCACCTTGGCTGCATCAAAAAAGCATATGAAAATTTTGAGTGTATTAATTTTAATATTATCGACACGCGCTCATGTAAAATTTATGGCAGTGAAATTAATCTGCTGTAAATGCGTTATCTATTAATTAATTTGGTTTTTACTTGCATTGAGAATCAATGCATTTTGGGAGAGGATCATCTCCAATGATAACAAAAACTTCGGTCTTACTATCTAACGCATCTTTTAAAATTTTTATTTTATATAAAATTATTATATAAAGAAAAATTTTATATTATTAGTTTTAGAGTTATTGTTCGTGAAGATTTTATCTTTTAAAGTATATTTTGATAATTAAAAAAAAGATATATTTAAATTATTTTTAACCTTAGATTCTTAACATACACAAAACTTGAAACAAGCTGTATTTGATGTTATGCCATTTCCAAAAACAAATAAAGCCTACTCTATGAAGTCAATGCACCATAAAATTTGAGAAAAACAAAAAAGGTTTTCATGCAAAAGAACTAATTACTTGTAAAAGCAATGAGGGGGATATTGATGGAAATGTTCCTACATTCCTAAGAGATGATTTTGATGATGATTCAAGTCAACTACATTCAAGTCAACATCATTTAAGATGAATTAAGGACAAACTGAATTTATGACGTTGGTGAAAGTGTGAAACATTTTCCTACATGCCTAAGATATGTTTTTGATAAAGATGATTCAAGCAAACCCAATATGATTCCTGAAGATTAGATAGAGTCTTAGAATGCTGGATATAGAGGTACACGTTGATGAAGTAATATTATGCATAAGCCTCCAAAGCACAAGTGTGATAAAATTCATAATATGATATTTTTTTCTGTCATAATCAATTATGATGCATCAGAAATGGAAAAATGATTTTCTCTTTCATAATTGATTATACTGGTAATATAATCAATTATGATAATTCAAATTTGAAAAATATATCCGTTTTAAAGAATAAATGTTTTTGAATACATCTTGATTTTCTCTATGATATTATTAATGTCCAACGACCATTTTCTGATGCTATTTTTCTATTTAATTAATTTTTGATGAATAAAAAAAACACACAATTACAGAATTCGAAAATACAATTTACATTCAATCAGTTTTGAGAAAAGAATTTTGAGCAAGGCAACAGAGATATTTTACACCTTTTGAGAAAACCCTCTTCTCTACTGCCTCTTGTGCTTTCATTGTTAATCACTATAGACCCCAAATCTTGCCCGGCTCCCTAATAAAGCCGAAGATCGCCCGTTTCAAATATGGTTAAGACTTTATCAAGTCCCTAGTAGCTTGTTCTAGGTTCCATTTAGGATAGGAAGGGTTTTTAGAGGCATTAAAAATCGGGAAATCCGCCGGAGACAGTAGATGGCCGTCCAGGACAGGCGGATGGCCGTCCAGAACAGGCAGATGGCCGTCCAGGACAAGGAGATGGCCGTCCATGACAACTTTAAGGCCATGGACGGCCGTCCACTTAGCTTGGACGACCGTCCATGGCCAAAAGTTGCCATGGACGGCCGTCCGCACTACATGGATGGCCGTCCATGGCCACCTTTTGCCATGGACGACCGTCCGCTTTGTCCAGACAACCGTCCACCTTTTCCAGGCCCGAATCCCTATAAATAGGAGCCTCATTTCTCCGTTTTTTCACACCTTTTCCACTCCTCCATTCTCTTGGAAGCCTTTGGCACTTGAGAGTGACCCTGAGCATTATTTCGGGGTTCGAGGGAGCTTTCCAATTTTTGTTAAAGTTGAAATCGGTTAAGGAAGTCTCTTTTTGAGACATCTGGCCCTCAGTAGAGTGACTTTTCTTTATTTTGCGGGAGGAGCGTGCTTGTAGAGTGCGGAGACTGCCAAAAAGCGTCCTCACGTTTTCGAAGAGTTAATATAAAGCTTGCTTCGGAGGTTCCTTCTCCATTCTCTGTCTCTTTTACTGCTTTCTTTATCGCTTTCTTTTTGTGCATTAGATAATAGAGCCATGTAGATATTTAAATTTTGCAAGTAGATAAAATAATAGGGTAAAAGTATAATTTCTTTAAGTGTTTATTTTCTAAGCTAGTCCATCATAGGGAACCCGAAAGGGGCGTTGTGGGGGGTGCTAACACCTTCCCCACACGTAACTAACTCCCTTACCCGACTCTAGTTGTAATGGCCAAAGTTGGTTTTTTCTAAAACCACTGCCTTTTTTTTTTTTTTTTTTTTTTACCTTTTTAAGTGTTTAAGGTTAAAACACTGATGACGACTCCTCGAACCTATTCGAAAATCTCGCCTTTAGGTCCAGCCCGGTTATCGGACGGCCTAAAGGCGTTGAACCACTTATTTCAAAAAATGCGAGTCATTTCAAAACCATCGCGTCGCTTCGACCGCCTCTTCTGACGGCGGCGACAGATGGCGACTCCACTAGGGAAGCTAGAGAGTTGATCCCATTTAGTGATGGACTAGTTTAGGAAATAAAAACTAGAAATTACGCTTTTACCCTTTCTTGCTTTTATAACATGCTTTACTGTTTGGCTTTAATAATTGTTGTATGCTTATTTTCTGCAATTGTTTGAAATAAACTGTACACAACCCTTGCACACTACAGTCCCTCTATACCCAGGGGCAAGAGAGAATACACATAGGGAGTGGGTGGCAGGTACGGCCGACCATGGTAATGGCCATAGTGCCAGCAGGTCGTTGTCGGAAATGTTAACATTCAAGGACTTGATGTTGCACTTGATGGGCATGAAGATTGTTGATTTTGATGATGATTCAAGAACTCAAAGACTTAGAGTGTTGAAGACTTGTTTTGTATTGTAATAACTCTGTTTCAATTAGATTGAGTCTGTAATATTAGTGTTTAAGATAGCCGGTACATAGTCTGCACCTTAGAAGCTTCAAAAAGCTCAAATTTATCATCCAGGCTCGGCTTTAATCGATTAAATAGGGAAATAATCGATTAAAACAGTGAGAAAAACTATTTTCTGTATCTGCTCACTGGTTTAATCGATTAAACCACCTGTTAATCGATTAACAGGCGATTTAATCGATTAATAGCCCTTTTAATCGATTAAAACAGAGAGATTCAGGGTTCTATTGATTTTGGCTCTGTAATAATCGATTAACTCTTGATTTAATCGATTATTTCAGTCAGATTTCGAATTTTAACTTCAAATCAACCCTATTTTCGAAAACTCTATTTCTAAGAACCCTAATTCCGAAATTCCCAATTCCCAAACCCTAATTTCTCTACTTAAGCTTCTCTATGTCACTCAGAAAAGAAGAACAACCTTTTTCATACAAAAGTTAAGTGTTGTAGTGCCAGGGAACTGTTTGTTGCAAGAAAAAGGGGCTTTTGGAACCTGGTGTGGGCTAGAAGCGATAAGAATCACTAAGTGGAGTTCTTAGTGGATTGTGTGCTGTGCCGTCTCTAGGGAAAACTGTTCATCATCTCTTGTGGATTTCAAGAGAGGTGTTTTCTTATCTTTATCTTTTCAATTGTAATTTGTTTGTAACAACTTGATTATAGTGACAGCGTTAATCCTCTATTTGAGCGATTAGCAACTGGACGTAGGGTCTTTTGATCCGAACCAGTATAAATCTCCTGTGTAAGATTCTCTTCTCTTCTCTATTTACATTTACACAGTTTTTAATCGGTAAAATTTGGGGAAAATTTTGAAAACCTAATTTTTATTAAGAAACCAATTCACCCCCCCTCTTGGTTTTTGTCCGACCATGCGAACATTCCGCTGCGCGATTATAACAAGTGGTATCAGAGCTTGCTTTGATAGTCATTCAAATTTTTCGAAAATGGCCAGACAAAATCAAACTTTTGCCGAAGGTGCGTCTATCAATAGACCCCCACTTTTTGTGGGTCAAAATTATCCTTTCTGGAAAGTAAGAATACAAATATTTTTAGAGTCTGTTGATAGAGGCATTTGGGATGCTGTTTTAAATGGTCCATTTGTTCCTATAGTTACTGAAAACAATGTTGAAGTTCCCAAACCTTTTTCTAGATGGACTGCAGAAGAAAATAGAAAAACACAATTTGACGTTAGGGCTAGAAATATAATTTCATCTACTTTAACGCTTGACGAGTTTTACAGGATTTCTGTTTGTAAAAGTGCCCAGGAAATGTGGGAAATGCTTAGAGTGACCCACGAAGGTACCGACGACGTCAAAAGAGCAAGGAAAAATTCTCTAATCCAAGAATACGAGATGTTCCGGATGCAGCAAGGCGGAACGATTTTCGACGTTCAAAAGCGTTTCACTCATATTGTGAATCATCTCACCGGATTAGGTAAAATATTTGACGTTGATGAATTAAATGTTAAAATTTTAAAATCTTTGGATAGGAAATGACAACCTAAGGTGACGACCATCTCAGAGTCACAAAACCTTGCCACAATGTCAATGGCGGCGCTATTCGGAAAGCTAAGAGAGCATGAGCTTGAGCTTGGTAGGCTAAACGATGAAGAAGGGCAATATCAAAAGAAGAATTTAGCCTTCAAAACCGAAATCTCCAAAGGTAAAAATAAAAAGGAAGAAGAAGACTCAAACGATGAAGAAGAAGAGTTGAGTCTAATGATAAAGAAGTTCACCAAATTCATGAAAGCTAAAGGAAGGCATCCATTCAAAGGTAAAGGAAAGATAAGAGAAAGTACTTCCGTTAATATAAAATGTTATGATTGTGGTGAAGCAGGGCATGTAAAGACCGAATGCCCAAACAAGAAAAACGATGAAAACAAAGGCAAAAAGGTGTTCAAGAAGAAAGCCTATATTGCTTGGGATAATAATGACTCAAGCTCAGAATCAAGTGACTCGGAAGTAGAAGCAAATATTTGCTTAATGGCAAATGACAACATATCTTCCGATTTTGAGGTAAGTGATTCCGACTCATCTTCTAGTGATGATGATAATAATTATGATGAATTGCAAAATGCTTATAATG